CCCAAGTTGCTGGGACCACAGGCGCCTGCCACAAGGCCCGGCTATTTTTTTGGTTGCAGCCATCATTGTTGTTTGGCGGGCCCAGGCTGGATTTGAACCCACCACCTTAAGTGTATGTGGCTGGCACCTTAGCCACTTGAGCCACAGGTGCCAAGCCGAGACCCTATCTTTACTAAAACTGGAAAATCTAGGTGGGTACAGTGGCACAGGCCTTGTCATCCCAGCCACTTGGGAGACTGAGGCAGGAGGATCCCTTGAGCCCAGGAGTGGGAAGGTGCAGTGAGCTTTGATGATGCCACTACACTCTAGTCCAGGCAACAGAGTGAGACCCTGTCTCAAAAGAAAAAAAAAGTTAAATGAAATTCATTTACAATTAGCATAATATTTAAACATAAAATGATAAAATACAAGAGACTATTTTTCATAAACATTACTATGACTTTCTTGAGATATACTATAATGTATTTTTCATAAGTAGTTTGAAGGTTAAACTTAATTTGAGTCAGCATTACTATTATTTTCTTTTTCGTGCTTTACTTTAAAAGGCTTTATTGTATTATTTGAGATGAAGAGTAAGTAACAAATAAAATGGAAAGACCCTGTGATCCTTTGCCTGTTCTAGGAAACATTTGGTCTACGTGTAAATGACCAAAATAATTAGATCAAGTGATTGACTTAGCTTCAAAGCAAGTAACGTATACAAAACATTTTCAAAACTTGTTTGGTGTTGCCATTCCTTCAATACTAAAATTTTCAGGGCACTTAATAGGACAGTTGTAGAGGAGATAGTTTTACTATCAATCAGATTCTTATGAGAACAACATTTTGAAAGTAGAGGCTTGGTGCCTGTGGCTCAAGTGGCTAAGATGCCAGCCACATACACCTAAGGTGGCAGGTTCGAATCCAGCCCGGGCCCACCAAACAACAATGAAGGCTGCAACCAAAAAATAGAGCCGGGTGTTGTGGCCGGCACCTGTGGTCCCAGCTACTTGGGAGGCTGAGGCAGGAGACTTGCTTGAGCCCAGGAGTTGGAGGTTGCTGTGAGCTATGATGCCACGTCACTCTACCCAGGGTGACAGCTTGAAGCTCTGTCTCAAAAAAAAAAGAAAGTAGAACCACCTGCTCTTAGGATAGGCCTGGGCTCTGTGTGAGACAACTCTCAGGTGATTGTGGACCTGTTGTAGGATGAAGCATTTGGGGGTAAAGCAGCCATTCCAGGCTCTGTAGGGCTTTTGTTAATGGGATAGGCATTCAGACACTGACTTCAGACATTCATTCCCTAGAATTGGGAGGAGACAGAGTCCTCCTCGCTCCTTGATGGTTGATACTCTTGGATTAAAGAAAACCTGAGGAGTCAGTCAGCGACCCAGAGTGAGATATGTTGTTCTCTACGCCAAACCTCCACGTCATGGATTTGATTGTGGCTACAAATCACTGACTGAAGCACACCTCTGGTCTGCATGGCAGTACCAAGGGCGTTTCACAAAAGCTAAGGATGACCTCATCTTCGATGGCTCTAGCATCTAGGACAAGCAATGCGAATATATTCATCTCTAGAATGTGGATTTTCCTTGCTCAACATGAGGCTGCTGTAAGAAGTTAACTAAAATTTGCTACATTCAGTAGAAATCTGGGTTGTGGTGGTCAGACTCCAGTGTAGAGAGCAGTCCACTTCAGGTTTGCACATGTGATGGGATGGGTGGGAAAACCATCTGGAAAATATTAGCCCTTGAAGGCTTCTTGCTGACTAAATCCAAGAGTTTTCTCCCGTAACTCGCACTGCACAGAGACCCGAAGTCCCTTGGGCACTGGGGGACATGCGTAAAGCCTGTGGATGACCCAGTGCGTCTGAGCCTGAGTGTTGACATGAGTACTTAAGACTCTTTTTTTGGTCTATTTAAAAATTCTTTTTCATCCCTTTCTTTCCTTCCCTTCCTTTCTTTCTTTTTTTTTGGACAGAGTTTCAAGCTGTCGACTTGGGTAGAGTGCCTGAGTCCTCACAGTTCACAGCAACCTCCAACTTGGGCTCAAGTGATCCTCTTGCCTCAGTTTTACTATTTTTAGTAGAGACGGGGTCTCACTTTTGCTCAGGCTGGTCTTGAACTCACAAGCTCAAGCAATCCACCCGCCTCAGCCTCCCAGAGTGCTGGGATTACAGGTGTGAGTCACTGCACCGGCCTCATCTCTTTCTTTTCCTTTTTTTTTTTTTAAAACTAACTTGGTCTAATTGTACATATCATTAAACATGTCCAAACCCACAGAATTTCCAACCCCAAGAGTAAACCATACTGTGAACTACAGACTTGGGATGATTCTGGTGTGTCAGCGTGGGTGCAGCAGTCGTAACAAAAAGCTTGTTCTGTGGGGAGTGTTGATAATACGGGAGGCTGTGTATGTACATGGACGGGGGGTATATGGGAAATCTAACTTCCACTCAGTTTTGCTATGACCCTAAAACCTTTCTGAAAAAATAAAGTATTTTTAAAAAACAAAGAAAGAAGGAGAAAATGAATGATCAGTTAAGAAAAATTAAAAAAAAACGGAAGTGAAAAAAAAGCCCCCAAAAGCCAAAAAAAACCCCAACGGGCCAATCCAATTAAAAAAAAAACCTTCCCCCCCCTTCCCCCAAAAAAAAAGAACCCCCCCAAAAGCCGGAAGAAAAGGCAATATTTTCTTCTTAGTGTTATTTTTTTGATCATAAAAGAATGATCAGGTCAGTAAGCTAATAAAGGCCACAGGAAAACCAGGATGAGCAAATGGAATTTTTCATCTTTAGCATGAGAGGGCTGAGTAACAACATATTTAGTGAGACTCCAGTGAGTAGTAAGGTTAAAGTTAAAATAGGTTCT